CTATCGGACGTGGCACTGGTGCGGGCATGGGTGGGTATCTATGATGATCACGACCACGTGCTCTTATACACCCAAACAGGGTGTTTGTCATCCTCCTCAGCAAGCCCACTTCTTCCTTGACCAGTTGATCTCGACTATGAGTCATATCCTTGATACGCTCGAGCCCATCAACCTAATTCACATAAAAAAGTTAGCAAGCTAAAACTCATGATTTGTCCATGAAAAAGCAATAAATTTAATTGATTACACGGAATTACTTACCAATGCACCCTCCGGAGTCACGTGCCGAACCGATTTTTGTCGATATCTATCCATGTATGGGTCATGATACCCCATTCGAACCACAACTGTTGGAGTTACAATCACAAAATCTTGTCGGTTCTCCCACATGGCGATGAATTTCTTCAACTTCACGGGCCAATCTTGCTCACCTTGCCGACCATCCAGGTGGTGAAACCGTCTTTGACTCTCGGGGACCTCCAAAGGAATGCATTGCTCCCGACCAAACTGGCAGAGGCATCTATCCGGCAAGTGCCACTCCACGGTATGGTGACAAATGAGAGGGACTCTCGTGCACCATTGCCGATATGATCAGGGAATTGTTGGCAATGCCAGTGAATGATGTTCTCAGGGTATGGATCGTAAATGATCTACAAAAAGAAATGAAAAACTCAAGTTAAACAAAATTGGAAGGTACATGTAGTTCATGAAAAATAGTTATAACATTTCGAAGTATTCTAGTTACCTCGCCTTCCCAAAGTCGCTCTAGCCTCCTCCGATACTCCGCCAACTTGTGGTGTACAAGGTTATCGCATGTTGTGGCTCCAACGCACCTTATTAGTAAGACAATAATGAAATGTTATAACTAAATAACAAAATTGTTTTATGGAAATCATGATTGGGTATGAGAAGTTTACCTAAAGCCATAAGCTTCACCTCTTAGGGGATGGTCGATTGGCCAATTCCTGTCGGGAAGTTTCTCCGGTGCAATCCATGAAGATGCTCCCAAGCCCAAAATTGAACGATGAACATTGCCCCGCTCATAGTTTTGAGAGATGCATTACACAAATGGTGGTAGATATTAGCTAGGTAAGCGATGCCCAGCTCAACTCCCCCATCACATCCCAATCACCAAGGAGGATCCTAAGCCATCCATAGCTAATTAAATTGTTGGATTTTTTTTTGGGGAACACTCCTCCGATCATGCCTATGAGATAGACACGAGCATATCTTTCTTTCACCTCCTCTGGACTTTCCTCGGTCAGGGGCACCCCGCCTTTTGTAGGATCGTGCTGGTCCTTCAACCACTTCGTCAACCAAATTATTGATACTTGGTTTTTCCTGAATGGTGATAAGCGATCTGTCGCATCAACGCTCTCCTTGACTGGCACTCGCACGCCCAAAACACTGTAGTTCAAAAGCTGCCAACCGGTCATATCGCCAACATCCTCGGGCGAATGATGACTCACACACACCGCTTTGTCGTCGATGGGCAAATTGGTTAGGATGGCGACGTCCTTTAGAGTGATGGTGGACTCTCCTTCGCGAAAGTTGAAGCAATGTGTCTCTTTTCGCTATCTCTCCACCAATACGGTGATGAGCTGAAGATCGATTTTTATGCTTGAAAAATGCCGAGTCGATTCCAACCGTGCCTTTTTGAGAAAGGGCAAGATAACGTCGTTCCATGGGAGCACACTAGTCGTACCCCTGTAGTGGAGTATTTGGTAAGCCTGCTAGCAAAAATTTAAACGTTATTTATCATATACTAGTAATAGTTTTTTAGAAATAACTTAATTAAAATAAATGATTTAACTTTGAGCATAATTTTATTATAATTATATGATTAACAAATAAATTAAAATAATTCAAGGTTTTTTTAAGATATATTTATAATTTCATAAAACAAACATATTCAAATAATTAAATTAAATAACATTTTAATTGAATAATAATTTAAAGAGATAAATATTAAAATATTTGAAATTAATAAAATTATAATTGTACACATACACATAAATCGTATTGGTTGTTTTAAATAATTTAATCGAATACAATGCAACACTCGTAAGACTCTTAGAAGAGGTATACATTTTCTTAGAAACAAGATAATCGCTTAAAACCCCATTTCCTTAGACGTGCATCTCTTTATAAAGAGTCTAAGTAAGTGGCGCTATGTATTCGATTAAATTATTGAAAACAACCAATACGATTAAAAATGATCAAATTTATTTTATATTCCACTAAGTACGTTAACAAATTAAAAGAAAGACAAATGATGAAGAATTGTATGTACCTCGTGATCATTCCAAACATCCCTTGAACGATGGTTGGGTTCATCGTATAACACGGTTGGATCACTAGGTCCTTGATCAACATAATACCATTGGTTGTATATATCCACGTCGTCACCAACCTACGAGAGAATAACAACAACGTTTGTACATAGATTAATTGAAAAGGTTATAACAACAACAAAATTTTGGTAAAATGAGTACGTACAGCTTGAAATTCATCAAAATAAACTCCCTCTTCTTGGAACCACTCGTCCATTTTTTCGCGAAAGTGGACAGAGATTCGGCGGGTTGGAAGGAAAAGCCAAAATAATGTTATCTGATGACAGATCGGACTTAGCCGCAACCAGCAGACCACTATTTCCTAGGCTTTTCTGAGAGGAGGGGGATGGATAGAAAGATAATTTTAGAGAGAGAAAGAAGAATGAGTTGTGGTGTGAAAAAATGTGGAGGGGGAGGGGGTTTTTATAGTCTTCAGACCGCACCCTCCAGGGGCGGTTTCGTAATTTTTCCCTTTCCAAAACTACAGCTGGAAGGATCGGTTCACGGAGGCCGAGGCGCAAACCGTTCGCTAGGCGCGTGGTCTTCGATCACTGACGCGGATCGCTGCGCTGGCGTGCGGTTCGCCGTTGGATCGCCGTCTAATCCAACAGTGCTAGGGACCGCCTCCTCGGAAACACGTACCGCACGTTGAAAATACGGTTTTGGGGCTGCCCTAGCGAGGACCGCTCCCTCGTTGTGCGGTTTGCACATAAAACGCACCTTGAAGGCAACCTAGTTATTCTGCTAACTCGAAGATTCGTTAGTATATACTAACTAATATCCAAAATATATGAACTTAATCCAAATCTGTTGAGTATCTAGATAGCACAAACTAGTATTCAAAACATCACAAATTGATATCCAGATAGCAGATACCAACTAATATCCACAATCAACCAACTAGTATTCAATATGGATACTCTTATGTGTTATCTGGATACTAATTATGTGTTGTATGGATACTATTTTGTGTTGTCTAGATGTTAGTTTGTGAATTTGGGATAATAGTTGATTCATGGTGGATATCAGTTAGCAAACTTTGAATACTAGTATGTGCTCTCTAAATACTTTAGTACTTGGATACTAGTTCATGTATTTTGGATATCAGTTAGTATCTGCTAACGAATCTTCAAGTTAGCAGATTAACTTTTCCCCCTTGAATGTGTGATTTTGAAAGAAATGTGCTATTTTTGGAATTTGTGTGGACTGAGTGCTATTTTTGAAAAAAAAAAATGTTATTATTGGAAAAATCCCCCTATCCACTCCCACGCACCACCAACATTACCAGAATGTGAAGACAGCGATTAAATTCCTAATTAGTGTTCAGCCAAAAACGAAAGTCCTAATCTCTCCTAAATAACAAAATTCATTCATCATCAAGATTTTCTGTTTCAATAAATGACAAAGTTTTGGCTGTTTTCTTTTATCTAAGCCCCTTGATTATTCTCAACCATTATTCCAAAATACATTCCTTAATGGCCGCTTTTACGTTTAATTATTAGTATTTTATAGTGAATTATTTTGACAGAGACAGAAAGATGGTCAATTTACATTACAGTATAATATGTAATTGGGATTATCTGATATTCACAACCATATAATATGTAATTGGGATTATCTGATATTCACAACTACTGTGAATCAATATAAACGATGATGTTAGCATTAATTAATTTAGAACAATAATAATATATTTATTAGATAAGAGTGATATAGGTTACTTTTTTGTGTTTAGATACTACTGAAAGGATTCGAACTTGAGATCTCCAGGTTCAAAACTAGTATCATTACCACTAGATCGATCCCTTATTCGTAACAATATTAATGTTTTAAAACACGAAATGACAGAGTTTCATTTCCAGTCACCTGAAGAGTCTCGAATCCTCTCCAAAGCTTCAAAATATCTATTATATATATATATATCAGTGTACTCACTTTTTTGGAAGCATTCAGTGCACTCGCCTCATAACCGTTATTTTAAACATGCGATTTATGTCAAAATGATGTCAATCATCACTTATGATGTGATGAACAATAACGCACATGAATTTTCACAAAACCCATTAAAGATTTACTTTAATTTGAAGGATTTAGAGTTTAGAGATTTAGGGTTAGGGTTTACAATTTGGGGTTTAGGGATAGAACTCAAAATTGGGGTCTAGGACTTAGGGTAATCCGCTAATTAGTTGTTATCATATGTTATAACATCATATTACACTTATTCTACAAATTAAAATTTAAAATCCGACACTTTAAGACTAGATTTTGAGTTGGGTGCATTGAACGCACTCATTTTTGAGAGTGCACCGAAATAGTCACCTTATATATATATATATATAAACTATATACAAGACTCTAAATACAATATGACTATTCGATGTACATCCATATATCTCGGTGAATAAGAATCGTTCGTTGTAATTTGTTATTAAATTTATATCAAGGTTTGATTTTAAAAATTCGAGATCTCAAATTTATTTATCAATGTTTGGGTATATTATCTAGGCCAATTTCAATTTAATTCATAATTTAAATAAAAATTAAATTTGAGAATCATACAGTCCAAAACTATAATAGTACGGTTCAAGATGAAGAACATAGGTCGACTTGGAATTCACAGCTAGCATTATACAAATTCCACCAAAGGAAACAAAAAATTGCACCAATCAATCGTGAGATATAATATAATAATATGACGTACATGACTCATATACAAATGACATAAGATGAGAGATCTGATATCTCAATCACACTTGATTTGATAGATTTGCCAAATGACTAACAAAAGCAACAAGAGTTGTTGATAAAAGGACTAAAATCTCCTCACAGTACATATATATCACGGGTACACAAATTCTTTTTCCATTTCCCCCACCCTTTTCCCTCTTCTTCTTGACGTAAATCTTCTCAGGGTCTAACGATAGCAGTAATCGTAATCACGGGTAAACGACAAGGCAGGAGGATAATGATAAGAACAAAACAACAAAATGTATACTAAAATACTGATTGTGAACTACTACATTCAAACTTATGTTCTCCCTTTCCGAAGTGCGACGATTTGCTGGGTGTGTGACTGAATGGACGGGGTTGGTTGGCTGGCTGGCTGGCTGGCTGGCTGGCTGCCTAACTGGCTAGCTACTGCACCAAGCCCAGGACTCAATTTATTTTATACGATATCAGTAGTTCCAAAAATAGTCCAAATGAGCTACCTGTGACATGGCAGAAGAAATTTTAGTGTTCATCTCCGCGCTTATCGCCATCATCGTCTCTCGATAAACGCTAATCATCTCCACGTCATCAGCAGCTCTGGAATTGTGCTTCATATTCAGGGCGCCTCCTTGTTTCTCCAACAGAGCTTGAAGAATCGAGTTGTCGTCCTGTTGCATCAGGGTGGAAGAGAAGTGAAAATTCTCTGGGGGGAAGTGGGGATTGTAATATGCGGAGTAGAGAGGAATCGGATTTGACGGTATCTGGTTGTTGGCAACAATTGGTCCGTCCTTGTTGCTGGTTGTGAGATTGGAGAAGCAGGGCACGTACGCCGAAGAAGATTCGGCCCCGGCTGGCTTGGTTTTCTGATCACTGCTGTAAGCTGATGGCGGCTCCATCAACGGTGGCAAGAGAGAGGAAGGACCCATTTCGCTGAATCGGAGTATTCCGGAGATGTGAGATTCCTTCCCCCCACAGGTCTTCTGGAACACCCTGCAAATCACCCACTCGTTCTGCCAAAAGAAACAGAGAAAGTGAATAAAACAGGGGAAACAGACATACAGAGGATGGGGAGACTTTCTTCTACAATATTATTTGTTATATTCTGTTATTTATTTATTTACCTTGGCCCTTTTGGGGAGGTTGTGGGTAGGGAATTTCCTGTCCAATCGGTACTCGTGCATAACCCAATTGGTCTTCTCTCCTTTGGGGGCCCTGCCTTTGTAGAAGACAAGGGTTTTCTTCATTCCGACGAGGCATTTCCCTCTGTAAATCTCCTTGTCCTTACCAGTTGCCTTCCAGTAACCAGCTTCAGTTGCTCTGTTGGTTCTTACCCCTGTTGGGTACTTCCTGTCCCTTATGCAAAAGAAATACCACTCTTTCTCCCCCATCTTTGCTTTCCCTTCATCGTCCAATATACAAAAATCCCAGAGACAGAAGAGCTATCAGAGGTGGGGAAAGTCAGAGGAGTAGAATCTGATCATTGTGCTTGCTAAACTTACAAGGTAATTCCCAAGGCTCGGACTTGTTCAAATCAACATCGCCGATTGCTATGCAAGAGAAGTTGATGTCTATAACCTTGTTGTAGAGATAGTGTGAAATGAGCTCTTCATCAGTTGGGTGGAAACGAAACCCGGGTGGCAAATCCATCTCATCTTCCTCCATACCCACTCCACACGCCACGTTGTTTTCCATTTGCCTGAAGAGAAAGAAAAAAAACTTGAGATAAATCGTAACTACAACCTCCAAAAACAGCCAAACAAAGGTGGATGAGAAGGAGAAGAAGAAGAAAACGAAAATTGTCTGAATTCAGTGAACCTTTAGAACCAGAGGAAAGCAAGCCAATTATGCAAGCAGCGAAGGGAAGTGAACAGAGGAAAAGCAGACGGAATAGATAGCTAAAGGATGAAACAGGCGAAGCGAGGAGTGTTGTGAAAGCTTGATGAGCTGAAATGGTTGATCTTGAAAGTCGTCATACGAGAGATATATTGAATAAGAGAGAAGAGAAGAGACGAAATGATTCAACAAAAAGGCAGGGGAGGGGGGCGGTATTGGATGAAAATTGAACCGCTGATTTGTTGATTAGGTGGGTTGAAAAGGAGTAGTTATCGTGGTAATTATTTTAACCGGTAGTATTTGGATAATTTGGTTTGATTAATATAAATAATTGGTTTGGTTTGGTTTGGTTAAATTTTTAGCTTGTTTGCTTTAGGTGGTTTGGTTTGGTTTCAAAAATTGCTAACCAATCAAACCAGATTAACCAATTAAATAATTAGTCATATATCTAATATATATTATATACACATACTCAATACATTGCCTAACCACCCAAGAGTCAAACGTTCCTCTCTTTTGCACTCGTAAAAGATAAAAACTCAATATTGTTCCTACTTCCTATACTGAATATTTGTATTTGTAGAGTGTAGACCACAATATATGGACGCATAATTTAGATAAAAACTCATATATTATGTTGGATGAAAATTTGAAAGAAATGTCTTTTTCATTTTATGATAATTGCAAAGAGATTAAGTCAATTCACACGAACACAACAATTCATTAAGCTCATACCATTGGCATATATTTTTTGTTAGGTGAATAGTTTTATAGACTCTAAGATAATTGTATTTGTTACATGTATTTATGTTAATGGTTAACTGTAACTATGTGTTGATTGTTATGTCTTATTTAATATATGAATTGCGAATTAATGCATTAACCAGAAATGTTTCTCACTTACTGATAATGTGGTGTTATATTGGTTAATATGATTAACCAATATAACACCACATACCAATTAATCAAACCGATTAAACTTTGGTTTGGTTAATTTAGTTGTTGTATTAGTTTAGACAGTTTGGTTATGATATTGTATTCCATGATTTATAGAATTTAAACTTATTTGGTTTGGTAATTTCCTTGGTAACCATTTCAACAACCCTATTGTTGATAGACTCAAGAGATAAAGATGGAGAAAGAGAGAGGCAAAGAGTAAAAAGGCTACCGTGACCAAGTTAGGGAGGAGAAAGGTAGATGAATTAAGGGGAACTGAGCAAAGGTAGGAGATAGTGGTGGGCAACGGTAAACGGGTATTTGGGTATACTCATACCCGTCCTGTTTTTTTAGAGTTACGGGTACTCATACCCGTCCCATTAACTGTACGAGTATGTAAAGGTAGTTTGAGTACTCATTATCCGTCTCGTACGGGTAACATGTACTCGTTAACCCTTACGGGTTTGGGATATGGGATGGACTTGGCTCTTCAAACACGATTGGATACCCGTTTCAAACGGGACGGGTATCCAGCCGCGTACCGTTACCCATCCCTAACAGGGGACATTGAGGAAAAGAGGAAGGTAGAAAGGAAAAGAGAAAGTCTCATATGAGGTTTTATTTTAAGAGAGAAAATGGCAGTATGGAGGAATAAGAGACCGGTTTTGTGTTTAAGAGTTTTCTTTTGTCATTTCCATTTTTCAGTTCCTGTGTTGGAAGAGATCGGAGAAAAGTGGATTGTTAGACAACTTTTGTAACATCCAATTCCTTTTACCTAATCACGGTATTGTTCGTTTTAGGACCAATCTCAGATGCTTTTGATTTTTTATCATCATGTAAATTTTCAAAATGTCACACATCTATGTGCGGCCCCACTCTAAACACGTTTAAAGTGCAAAAAGGCCCCACTCTAATCACGGTATTGTTCGTTTTAGGACCAATCTCAGATGCTTTTGATTTTTTATCATCATGTAAATTTTCAAGATGTCGCACATCTATGTGCGGCCCCACTCTAAACACGTTTAAAGTGCAAAAAGGCAAACAAAGAGAAAGAAAATTCCTAGGGCTAGCGTAAAATAGTTTCAAGGATGATACTAAACAAGTCAAACAACCAAGTGAAAAAGTAAAAATACGTATGAATGGAACGAATCGGGAACTCTAGGAGAGTTTGCTTATGCAACGCCTCACTCTGCTACCTTCACTAACAAGTAGTATAGCTTTTGTTTCTGCATTGTTTTTCTCTTTTGTTTTGTAAAACCAAGGGGAACTTCTATCCCAAAGTAGGGGTGTTCAAACGGTATGGTTACCGTGGTAACCGTTTTAACCGGTAGTATTTGACTAATTTGGTTTGATTAATTTGGATAATTGGTTTGGTTTGGTTGAATTTTTTAGCTTGTTTGGTTTGGTTTCAGACACTCCTAACCAATCTAACCAAATTAACCAATTAAGTAATTATCCATATATCTAATATATATTATGTACACATACTCAATACTTGACATAACTACTAAAGAACCAAACATTCTTTCCTTTTATGCTCATCAACAATAAAGCTCAATATTGTCCATATACTGTATATTTCTATTTGTAGAGTGTAGACCATGATCTATGAACGCTCAATTTAAATAAAAACTTATACAATATATTAGATAATATATTAGATGAAAACTTGAAAGGGAGATCTTTTTTAACCTATGATAATTGCTAAGAGACTAATTCAATTCACACAATCACAACAATTCATTAACTTCATACTATTGATATATATTTTTGTTACATGAAAACTTCTATTGACTGTAAGATAGCTGCATGTATTTTGGTAAGAGTTAACCATAACTATGTGTTCATTGTAATGTTTTATTCATCATATAAATTGTGAAATGATGCATTAACGAAAATTTTCTCACTTTAGTTTAGTTAATTTGGTTGTTGCATTTAGTTTGGACGGTTTGGTTATGATATTGTATTCCATGGTTAATAGAAATTGACTTATTTGATTTGGTAATTACCATGGTAACCATTTGAACACCTCTACCCGAAAGGCCTCAACCTCCAAATTCACATTTCAAACCACAAAAAACTCATCCCTCGCCACTTGAGTAAGTTCTTGTGGGAGACCCTAGGGAATAACATCATGGTCTTTAGATAAGAAAAATTTGCATCCACGTACTACAATAGATCAAAAACCCAAAGGGGACTTCAACACCACATGAACTTCGACCCACATTTGTTTGAAACCACACAGAACTCACCCTCACCACCTGAGTAAGTGATTGTGAGAGACCAAAGTGAATACGATCTTGGTCTTTGAACCTCGTAAATTTACATGCATGTAAGACACGCGATCAAAGTTTGGAGTCGTTGACGGGGACTCTGACAACCATATGAAAGGGAACGAGGTAACTATTCTATTTCCATCTTGTTGTTATTATTTTTTGTTTCCGTTCCTATTTTTATTTTTTCTCGTGTCTATTTTTCAAATGTGTTTACATATGTGATCGAGAGTCGGTATCTTGAGTCGAACCAGTAAATGACATAATCAGCAACCAAGGATATTGATCACATCGTAATTCAGTGGTCCTAGTGCAAATTGTTGTCCGCTGCTGCTTGTGTTTAATTTTATTATTTTGTTCATATTTATTTATAGTTTGTATCAGTTACGTCTGCGTATTAAAGTTACCATCCAGAGCTAAATCCACGAGAAGAATTATCGATGGTTGGGGTGCCAATTCAGATAGAACCTATCACGTGTAGATTTTGTCTTGTCTTGTATATGAGCTCAATACGAACCTGGCAGTGTATATAAGGTTGGGAATGATTGATTGTAAGCTCACTTCTACTCCTCTCGCTGCTCCTTTCAAGTTATCTGTTGCTTAATGTCTAACAATGGAAGAAGAATTGGATTATATGTCTAGCATTCCATATTCGAGTGTAGTTGGAAACTTGATGTATGTTTTGTTTGTACAAGACCCAATCTTGCATATGCAGTAAGTGTTGTCAGCAGGTATACGCAAAATCCAGGAAAAGAACATTGGAATGCTGTGAAGTGGATACTTCGATATTTGAAGGGAACACGTTATATGGGTCAATGGTTTGAGAGGAGTGAAAATCCTTCCAACAATATTATAGGCTTTTGATGACTCGATATTTGCACATGTTTTCCCCTTTGTTTCTTGATCGTTTAAGCTTGCATTATCGCTTCTTTGGCCTATTTTATGCTAGGTTGTGTTCCTTTGTCACATTTCAGGTCTCAAGCGTCTAAGGAAAAGCTAGGCGCAAGTGTCAAGTCAATCGGATATCAATTGGCGATTCGGGATAAGAAACTTGGGCATGTTCTGAAGAAGAATGGATTTCTACCTCGTTTATGGAAAAATAATCATGCAAGCTTGTCATGAAAAGAAAGAGGACAAGTGTACGAGCGTCTGGGATCAAACAGCGTCTGATTCGTAGTCCGGACGAGGGAGAAACGAAGCATTGAATATAGGGGAACATGTTCGGCAGTAAAAATACGGGCAGACTACCCTAAAAACACGGTCGTGTTTCATCTGGCCCCCGCTGGTGTTTTTACTGCCGGGGGCGTGTCATGATGGCTGCTAGGGGAAAAAGTAAAACATGGCCGTGTTCTCGACCGTGTTTTGCCCAGAATAGGGTTTTTGAGGCAGATTCAAGCCAAAGGAAAGGGAGAGCTGGGTTTTGGTTCCCAAACACCCAAGGAACGAACCCTAGAGAGAGAGACTTGGGAACATTTTTGGAGCTATTTTGGAGGATTTCTTCACCATTGGAGCTCGGGAATCAAGTTTGGAGATGGAGATTGAACATCTAGATCAGATTTCTGCAATCTCTCTCTTCTCTATGGAGTAACTTCCCTTCACTTAGGTTTTGAGGAACCCTAGTTCCATGTGTTAGGATCTTTCTTGTATGAAGTTTTGGATGCTATATTGTTTGAT